TTATACCTGTCTGATCGGTTGCTTTTTCTACCGGTTGAGTGCTGGATTCTGTTAGTTTAAGCCTAGCTATAGGCGCTTGGTCCTCACCGCATTGTTATCACTTGTTTAATATCTATTATTAAACGGCATGCAATATTTGATGGCGGTATACAGGCGGTATGGTTATGTGTATGTATGATGTGTAATGCATTTGCTGCTGTAGGGGCGGCGGCGGCGGCGAAGAGCTGAAGAAGAAGACCAATTTAGTCCATGAGAGACCACCACAGACCACTAACTGCTACTACAGGAAGATGAGGCAAATGACCGCAACTATTACTACTAGTACTTCTACTGCTACTGCTGCTGCTGCTGCTACTGCAGTTGCTGCTACTGCTAATGCTGCTGCTGCTACTGCTACTACTACTACTGCTGCTACTGTTGCTGCTGCTGTTGTCAGTATTGTAATATGAAGTGTCACTCTCTGTCCAGCAGGGGTGGTGTCCTTGAAGAAGATGGTTTTGTTCTTCTTCCAGCCCTTCATCTCTCTAATTACTACTACTGTTACTACTGCTACTACTACTACTACTACTTCTGTCACTGTGTCACAGCTGATGCTCGATAAATTCCACACAGAACAAGGAAATTTTGTAGCACCCTTTAATTCCACATACACACAGACAGATACAGACACACATACACATACACACAACACCTCCTATTTCCTCAATACCTCATGCTCCAACATTGCGAAAGATTATAACTGTACAAGTTTTCGCCCTCTTCCTCCTCACCTAGCTTCGCATCTTGTTCCTCCCGACTGGCTGTATTAAATTACATTTCTCCTTCCCCCTTCCTATCTTTTCATTTCTTTTGTAATGTTTTCTAAACGTTAAATTTTAATCTTTTTTATCCCAGGAAATGCTTTGTTATTTTTGTTTTTTGCTTGAAAGTAATAAAAAAATACGTCTTTTTTTGAAGTTTTTTTGGCCCAGCATAGGCACTGGTTTTTATAACAGAGGTATGATTAAAATGGAAATAAAAGTTTCATAATATTAAGTATTACCATGGAAGTATGCAGAGTTTAATATAATATCAAATATTATGCCTTGAACAGTCTTGGTATTCTTGATTTTATGAAAATCTCTTATTATTTATCGATTGCGAAAAGTAACTGATAGCGTAGAGCTGGCTGTTATTTTTGTTTTTTATGGCCGTTCAAGTGGATTCTTCTTAAATTTGTTTTAACATTAAGGGAGTACGATATCCAGAACCTGCTTTACGCTTACTTAACAGCATCTCTGCAGCAATATTTTTTGCGAATTTTAATGTTTGTGTGTTTTCATGACTCAATGACTGATAATTCAGGAAACACGTTGTCCAAAACATGAAGGCGTGAAATAGCTGTGTTTGGCATGTAATTATATTTCAGCACACCATGAGCTTTTCCCCATTATCAGCACCAATTTTTGGCAATTTGTTGGATTTCAGGTACACGTGTAACACCGGAAGCATTCCTGGCATGGAAGAAGAAGTTCGATGCCGAACTGCGATCCATAAACGAAAAGGAGAGATTGGTAATTTTTGCTTCTTCTGATTTTCGATAGCATTTGATATTAGCCTCATTTCCCTCATCTCTACTAAAATTTTTACATTCGTGTAGATGAATTTCACATTTTTTCACTTTATTTCCCTCTCCCCCTCTCCTTCCCCTTGCTCTTCACCCGCTCAATTATCTTCGGCATCCAGAGGGCAGAAGACGACTGGGCAGGTGAAGAGCAGGGAGAGGGAAATAAGGAAGTAAGAAATGCAAAATATATTTATCTCTTAAAACAATGGTTTTTTTCCATTCTTTCTTCAAGTAGAGATATTTCTAGTGCCTTCACGAGTTTCATCCATGTGTGAGAAGTGGGAATTTCTCCTGAGCCACTGAATTATTCATAAATAAGCTTTTTTGCCAATTTTTGCGATATTATTCTTCCAGTGAAATTGAGTTGCAGCACCCATATATATGTATAATATGTACATATATAATACATACATACATACATACATACATACATACGTACATACATACATACATACATACATACATACATACACACATACATACATATAATACATACATACATATTGTGGTTTTTTATGGTCTTGCATTTCCCCAAAAACCTTTTTTCTCACACCTTAGAAAAGCGATAGTAAAAGAAAAGATTTTTAAGTGCTTAATTTATAAGGCATTTTTGTAGTTGCATTAAGCAATTGCCAGCTGAATAAGAAGTGAGGGATGGAAGGAAAAAGCACTTGGCCAAACAGTAGCTGGTCAAGAAAAAAAACTTGAAATTTCGAAAAGTGACGTAGTTTGCGTAGATGAGATTCTAATTGTGATTGATAAACGAAGTGAGGAAAATAGGTCAGAGAAATTTGTTTTTTTTTAATATTTATCATTATTTCATGTCCTCTTCCATCTCCCTATTCTCTCTTTTTCCTCAACCCACTGACCCTCACCGGCATTTGCCGGTCCTCCTCCGGGTACGCTGAGGTCACCATTTTCAGTAATATGCAAATGAAATTTTTTCAGCAATTTCTGATTCAGTTGTAGTTTGGCTAAAATTTCGTAGAAAAAACCTTGCAAAACTGATTCTTTATGCCTTCTTCCCTCGCCTCCACCTTTG